TTTCACTTGAATCTACCGGTAAGGTAGAAACTTGTCTCGTGGCGTTCTTGAATTGATAAGATGGCCCTAATAAATTTTCCTTGCGCAATATTGAGTAAATCCAAAATTGAATTGAATTGAAACAATGAAGAAAAGAGTAAGCCAGAAGTAAGAAGCGGAAAACGGCTCAAGAACTTGTAAATAATATCCGCAACAGCCGAAAGCAAAATAACGAGAGCAGACAAAAATTGTCGTATAACGATAATGGTGTGTACAAGTAATATGGTGGAATCTCCATTAGCAGTTTTTGCAGTCGTCGTTCTTCGCTGACCGTGAAACAGGCCGTCAATTTCTTTTTCCTAGAACCTCGTCGGAGGAATCCTGGGAATCATGCGGCATTTTGGTTTACTGGCTGAAACCGGGAATGTGATTCTCGATCTTATTTTCTTATGGAAGCGTATGCTCGCACTAAAAATTTGACGCATCCGAAAGATACGACGAATCTGAAGAACATGAAGACCCTAGAGAATCTGAAAAATGTGAAAAATCGGAAGAATCCGAAGAATTAAAAAAAATTGAAGCATAAAAAAAATCGATTAAATCAACGGAATCAAAAAATGCCGAAAAATTTGAAGAAACCGAGCAAAAATTCGAGAAAGAAGAATCTGAAGAAACGGAAGTTCCTTAAAGAACGTGAAGAATCCGAAGAATTTAAAGAATTCAAAGCATCCAAAAAATTGTATAAATTCGCGAAATTTGAAGAATGTGAAAAATTTGAAGAAACCAAAGAATGCGGTTGGTCCGAAGAAGAAGAAAACGGTGAAGAATATAAAGACAAATTTTAAGGATCTGAGATATCCGACGAATCTGGAGAATTTAAAAAATATGAAGAATCTGAAGGTTCTCAAATAAGTGAAGAAATCTGAACACCTCAAAAAATGTGAAGAATTCAACTAATTCAATGAATACGAAGATTCCGATTAAATCACGGAATTAAAAAAAAGTAAGTCCGAATCATTCGAATTCCATCAATCTGAGGAATATGAAGCACCCAAAAAGTCTGAACAATTTGAAAAATCTGAAGATAGAAATCGCACGAATCTCGAGAATTTAAAAAACAACTAAAGAATCTGAAGGTCCTGAAAAACGTGAAGGATATGAGGAATCTATCTGAAGAGGTCGGAGGTCGGGTGTTCGAACCTGAGTTAAGGTGAATTTTTCATCTGTGGCGGAGATGGAAATTACCTTAGACCAGTTCCGAGCATTCTACCGGCTACTCCGAATTAGGTTTTCCTGCAGTTTTCCTAATTTGTAAGGTAAATACCGGAGTAGTATAGACCATCTTAAGACCTTCTGCAGAGGCACCTCTAAATAGCATTGTGCGGGTCACTCTGTAATTGGGCGCATGCCTGTTGAGGGCCCAAAACAAGAGAGGGATAATAAAATAAAATAAAAATAAAATAAAAGACCCTAAAAATGTCCGAAGAATTCCGAGATTTCGAGAAATCCGATTAAATACCAAGGAGTCCGAATAATTCGGTAAATGAAAAGAATCTGTGAAATCCAAATTCCCCAAAGAAACTGAAGTATCCCCAAGAATTTGAAACATCCGAAGATTCCGATCAATTCTAAGATACCTGCTGGATCACAAGTATCGGAAAAAATTTGAAAAATCGATGAAATCCACGGAATTTGAAGCAACCGAGGATCCGAAAAATCTATCTAGGATCTGAAGAGCCTAAAAAATTTTAAGCTCTGTTTTAAACGGATGGCCGTTTTGACCAATGAGGTTGAACCACGTTTTAGTTTGTTGCCAGTTGTTCAAGCGGCGCGTCGCCACTTTGAGGTCAACTCACCTACTTCGGAAGTGGGTCAGATGGCATAAAACGGAATTGAATTTGATGTCAATTTAGAAAGTTCAGTTAATATATAATAAAATGCTACTTTGAACAATTTTAGGAATTGAAGGGTAATTTCAATCCACTTGAGATTACCATGGCATAACACCCGCAAAAGTAGTTTTTAACGTGAAAAAACCACAGACTACGGATATCATCCACGTGAAACGACGATACGGCGTTGCCGTCGTGGCAACTTAATCGCCACAAGACGTTTTTTTACTAATCGTTAATTTAAATTCAATGTTTTTTTACAATTCATATCCAAAAATCTATTGAGATCTCCTCATATTTATCAATTCTCTGAAAAATCATCTTGCGAAATGTGACAACCGCGCTTGAATGAATGTTTGTATTGAGACACAGGTTATCTATTTTTATTTGTAGCGAGCACATATTTTTCAAGCACCAACAAAATTCATTTATAAATTGGGACTAGGTACATCTACACCAAAAGCTTAAGTGATTTATTTTTACATTTTTCTGAATATCGGTCATTGGTCCAGGTAAGTGTCCCATGTTCCCGATTATAGGATTTGAAAAGAATTTTTATGCCACAGATTGTCATGGATGACAACACTGCATTGGTTAAAATTGAACCGAAACAAGAGGAAGAAATAAATTCATCCCTTGAAAGAAATATGTTTGTTGCTAATGATTTTTTCGAAATCATAAAAGAAGAACGAAACGAAATATTGATGAGCAAGGAGATCAATGGGAAAGAAACGGATATGGTAATATTTCGATGTAACGTTTGTGATTTCACAACGGGTAATGACTCGTATTTTAAAGGACACCTCTTGACGCACAAGGATACTCATAAATGTGCAAAGTGTGATTATGTAACAAACGTTAAACAGTACTTAAACGCGCACATCTTGATTCACAAAGTATTTAAATGTGCGAATTGCAAGTACGCAACAGATACTAGGGAAAGTTTAATGCGACATTTCCTAAAACACAATACCGCGCAACTTTTTAAATGTGGCTTGTGCGATTATGTCACAAATATTAAAAGCTGCCTTAAGACGCATGCAATAACGCACAACGTTTCGAAAGACTTTAAATGTGGTGTTTGCAATTATGCAACAAATAATAAGTACATTTTGAAACAACATTTCTTAACGCACAGAGATTTAAAAGACGTTAAATGCGATAGTTGTGATTATGCGACAAATACCAAGGTGAATTTGCAACGCCATCGCATAAAACACATTGTTTCAGAGGTTTTTAAATGTGACGTTTGCGATTACGCCACAAAATTTAAAAGCCGTATTAACACACATCTCTTAACGCACAATGATTCGAAACATTATAAATGTAATGTTTGCGATTATGTGACAAACGTTGAACGGTATTTAAAAAAACATCTCTTGAATCATAAATTGAACGTTTTTAAATGTGCTAATTGTAATTATGTAACTAATAGAAAACGCAATTTGAAACAGCATGTGGTTTTGCATAAGGCGTCTAAACATTTTAATTGTGTAATTTGTCATTATGCCACTACTCGTAAAAGCGACTTGAAAAAACATGTCGTAATACACAAAGATTGAAAAGGTTGTAAGTGTGATTGATTTGATTGTTTTCAATAAAAGCATTAAATGTGTTTCTTTTGCCACAAATGTGGTTTTAAATCGTAATTAAAATGCCTAGGTACGTAAAACATATGATTTGCATTTGAATTATTATTGTTAATTAGCCGGACTCTCCAGTCCTGGGTATCGATTCCCGAAGTTAGTCGATATGCTCCGTGATGTGCATGTGATGTGACCGGCTGCCATGACGTCATGATCGTATACGATAGGGATAAGTTCAAGTTTAGCTGCATTCCCGAATCGCGAACAAACTGTATGCGCTAACCAATCACAGACAAGAATTGAACTGTCATTTGTCAGTTTTGTATTTTGTTTCGTTTTTGCATTAAGGATACTGTTATTTAACCAGAAAATCCTCGAACAATTCCATGTTTTATTTCACAGAAAATATGTGAATTTATAGGTTAGGGCACTGAATAACCTCTATAGCAAAACAGCTGCAAGATCCGTCCTGTAGCTGCAACTGCGCATGACTTTCACGCAACGAGTGGTCTTGACCAGTCGTTGCGTTCGATCAACTTTTCGCTCGATGTGGTAGGTTCGAGAATGCAGTGACATTCACGTTCACATCAAGGTCAGTCGATGTGAACAAAGCACATCTTCGGGAATCGACGCCCAGAAGGTATCTGAAGATCGTGTATGCGGTGTACTGATCTTAACCCAACCCCAGGCTCGAAGTGAAGATGACAGGTTTCACGGCAAAGTGGCAACGTTGCAATCCCAGTATCAAAACACGGTTCCCGTTCAAATTTCAAACAAAAGAATGACACGTGATCGGATCGTCTGAGGTAGGACGCCTTTACGTTACACGAAGCTAATACAATGACTCGGGACTCAGTCGGGCAGGAACGCTCAAATAAAACGCTTTAATGTCTGCGAGTTTATTTATTATAAACTTATTCTGAAAACCCGGGAATTTGGTTGTGGTACATTAAAAGTAAAGCAAGCAAAACCTAAAGGTGCCGCACTCTCGCAAAAGCAGACTACCAAGGAGAAAAAGAGCGCGACTTGAGAAAAACCTTGGCCTTGAATAAAACCCAAGCTATGTTAATCACAAGCAAATTAAAACACCAACCACCTAAGCAGAACACGTGCCACTGCCTTAATTAATGAATGAATTCAAGTAGCAGGGTACGTTTGAACAGTATGCGTAGAGTATTCGTCACAACATGTCATGTACTTCCCTTTAATCGCGGCTAGAAGGCAACTCACTTTTTAGTTAGCCATTGGGTGGTGAATGTCGTATTGTTCAGTGAAAACAAAAGACGGGAACGAACATACTTTTATTTAGAAGACTCCAACCCTCATACTAAAAATAATACAATGCACAAACGGGTGGCCGTGAACCGCTCGCGCTTCAACGTAGGTCATTCACTCTCTACCAGCTGTGGCCGACTGCCGGTCGCTGCTCCCCGCCCGCCAAACGCGCCCCGTCGTACTTTTCCTAGCGCGCACTGAACTGACCCGGAAACGCCGAAACGAACACACCGATCACTTTACCACATTCCTCCCCCACCAAACAAAATTAGTCTTGATATCGTGCCGGAAGAACTCGGGTCCTAGGCGGGTTTCTACGCACGACCGGTGAATCTTCCCTTTTTTTGGGATGCCCAACAGTGGATGTCGGAACATGCGTCGACCCCTCTTCATGGAAACTCCCAACCGGCGATCCAACCACCCTCGGCGACTCACATTTTAGTGGTGTTCCCTCCCTCTGTTCCGGCAGTAGAACTACCGGCAGCGCCAATGTTTGCTGACTGTTTTGTTCGTGCTCCAGTAGCGCCTGGGGCGAGACTGGGGCAGCCTCATGGTCGACGATCGCACCCGGTACGTCCAAGTCACTAAAATCCGTTCTCTCAATACGACAACGTAACTGGTCTGCGTGTTTCCTCTTCATTACTCCCTCCGAATCAACAACGTACGAATACGGCGCCGTCCTCTTTGTAATGACCCCCGGACTGGATCCTTTTGTAGTAGGGTTGTTGATCCAAACAGGGTCGCCCGCATCAAACTCGTAAAATCTTGTCCTTCTGTCGTGAAGTCGGGCCTGGTGAAGTTGTTCCTTTTCTATGTTTCTGGTGACGTCAGGCTTCAGTTGATCAAAAGGAGAGCGTAGAAGGCGACCAAACATTAATTCGGCCGGTGTCCGATTAGTGGAGCGCTGGTTAGTGTTCCGGTACATAAAAAGAAAACGTGATAAACGGCGCTGTGGGTTTGGCTCTTCCATGACTGACATCTTCTCTTTAAACGTTTTTACCATGCGTTCGGCTAACCCGTTTGACTTCGGATGGTAGGGTGTGACCCTAATATGTGTGATCCCACTCTGTGCGCAATAAGTTTCAAATTCGTTGGAAACAAATTGAGGTCCGTTATCTGAAACGATGAACTTAGGGAGCCCCAACCGACTAAAAACTTCCATAAGTGCTGTGATTGTACGCTCGGAGGTAGTGGTCGACATAGGAACAACCTCCAACCACCTGCTGTAGGCGTCGACTACAATGAGCCACCACTTGTTTTGGAACGGCCCGGCAAAATCGATGTGTACGCGACTCCAGGCTTCCGCCGGTGGTGCCCACGGAAACAGAGGTAAGTATTGTTCATTTCTTTTCGCTCGTTGGCATGGATAGCATTTTCGCACAAAGTCTTCTATCGCAGTATCGATCCTGGGCCAATAAACATGCAGGCGTGCCAGGGACTGCATAACACTGACGCCCGGGTGACCGTCGTGTAGCATTTTTAAGATTTCCAATTGGAGGCCGGCCGGCACGCAAATACGACCCTTCCACAAAAGAATCCCCTCTTCCACAGATAGCTCCTCCCGCTTCTCGAAGTATGGAATCAATTCCGCTGCCAAATGTTTCTTCTCCGGCCATCTGCCGCTTGTGTAGTCGCAAACTTTTCTCAGCACGGGATCAGCCGAGGTGCCGCTTTTTAAAGTCTTTCTGGTCACGCACAAATGATGAAGTCTGAGATGTAGAAGCTGACTTCTTTTAGGCTCTCCTGCCTCTTCCTCAGCGGACCGCGATGTCATGGCTATCGGTAAACGCGACAGGGCGTCTGCAGGTGCGTTTTCTTTGCCACACTGGTACTGTATAGTGTAGTTGTAGCTATTCAGGATCGTGGCCCAACGGAGTAGCCGATTGCTAGCAATCTTCGGTGTGGTCCGGTTTTCACTAAAAATGTATTGCAACGGCTTGTGGTCCGTTACCAGGAAAAAATGGCGGCCATAGAGGTAACTGTTGAATTTAGACACTGCGAAAATAATGGCCAGGGCTTCTTTGTCAATGGTGCTGTAACGCCCTTCCGTGTCCGTCCACGTGCGTGATGCGTACGCGATAGGGCGTAAGGTTCCATCTGTGAATTTGTGTGAAAGCACCGCCCCCGCGCCTCTGTTAGAGGCATCGGTGCAGACATAGATAGGGAGCTTTGGATCATAATGCACCAAGGTGTCGTTTGAACACAAAATCGTCTTTAAACGTAAAAAAACCTTGTTGTCCTCTTCAGTCCAATCCCATCTTACGTTTTTCCTTAATAGCCGGTGTAGTAGTGCACACTCCGCATGTAAGTTTGGTATAAAACGACCATAGTATGTGATGGATCCCAAAAATGATCTTAACTCTGTGGTATTTTGCGGGGCTGGCATCCCTTGTATTGCTTCAATCTTGTCGGCTATCGGATGTATGCCAAAACGATCAATCACATGCCCTAGATATGTGATACTGCTCTGGAACCATGCGCACTTTCGACGCTCTGTCTTGATGCCGACTGCCTCTAAGCGCTCTAATACTTGTTTCAGACGTTGAAGATGTAGTTCTGGTGTAGGTGCGGTTACCAGAATGTCGTCCAAATAGCAGACAACTCCCTCAATCCCAGAGAGCAGTTGGTCCATTGTGCGTTGGAAAAGCGCAGGTGCAAACGATACTCCAAACGGCAACTTCTTGTAAGCGTAATACCCTTTGTGAGTAGCGACCACAAGGTATTTTCTGGAGTCAGGGTGCACCTGGAGTTGTAGGTATGCGTCCTTCAAATCAATTTTCGAAAATTTACGACCCCCGCAAAGTTTAGCGGTTATCTCTTCGAAAGTAGGTAGCGGATAGTCGTCAACTTGTACGTAGGGATTGATCGTCACGTTAAAATCTCCGCAAAGGCGCACGGCGCCATTTGACTTCACAACCACTACAATAGGTGAGGCCCAGCTAATCGAAGTTATTGTGGTGTCAACCAACTCTAAAACTCCCTCATTTACCAGCCTCTCGATCTCTGCGTTTACCTGTTCCCGCAGCGCAATGGGTACGGGCCTCGCTCTGAATGCTTTTGGACGCACATCCTCAGAAATGTGTATCCGTGCTGACGGTCCCCTAATAGTGCCTATTCTGTTTTCGAAAAGTCCCCCATACTGGGACAGAAGCCGCTCAAGCTGCAATTGCTCCGGGTGCTCCGTGTGTCCTGATGGCCCTAGCCATTCCTCGCGCTCCCCCCCCTTTACTGAACAGACGCGCGCTCCAGGAGGTAGGGGAAGCCCAAACGCTAGACACCAATCAAACCCAAAAAGCGGAACATCATTACTGTTTACGAAAGTCAAAGGCAAAGTTTGAATTGTTCCAAATGCTGCTACGCGTACGTGCGCTGTACCCAACGTGTCAATAGGTAAATGTGAATAAACCACCAGGTCGAGCGTCGGAGTCGGAGTTTCGGCTTTCCCAACTTCTCCCAGATACTTCTTCCAGCTACTGATTGCTCCGCCCCTGGATCATACAACATCGCAACGTCAAGTTCGTTAAGTTTTAAGGCGGGTTTAGGCTCGTACGCAGAACGGCGCTGCTGCAGAAAGTCGCAGCCGCAGGTAGTTCGAGACCATGTTGATATACGGCCTTGTTTACGCTTGAACGCACCAATACAAAACGTAGGTTGCCGCAAATATGCTTGTCTGTAGGAGACGCAGAAGTTCGCAGAATTTAAACTTTGTACGCAGTTGTTTGTAGTCGGGCGTACAGCTCTTCTTGATCCTTTGTCACCATACTTGAAAAACATTTAGAAACCTTCCAAATTTTCTCCTATATTTGTTAACAGGTCTTACTGCCCACCGTCGTACCCTCCTTTGAGTATGCAAGAGCCCCAACTCATTACTTAACGCCGTTAGTAACAGTATTTTCTTTAATTTAATTCTCTTCTTGTCTGCCATTGCAGAAATTAATCAAAAATCTGTTTTTTCTATTCACTTAACCAACCACGTTATTTAACGACCAAAAGAGGTTAGGTTTTAAATGTCAATTTCGACACTTGAACACTGAGAACAACTGCGTACCAACATAAACAGATAGATCACTAGTACACACGGGGGCGTACTTCTGCAGCTGAAATTTCCACTCACTTCTGCAACGTGTGCATTCTGCGTACGAGCCTAAACCCGCCTTTACATCGAGGAACGCTTTTTTTCCGCGTACCGCGCGAATTGCCGAAATATTCGAATCCGCGCTAAAATGTTCTTCGTCACTACTCTCGTTTGACTGTCGTCTGTCTCTGTCCTGAACGCGAACGTGCCGAACACCGCCGCTTCGCTGTTTGTTTATCAGCTTTGCTCGACCCGACGAAATACACGCACGCGCAAAATGTCCCCGCTTACTGCACGCCGCACAAGTCTTGTCCCTAGCCGCGCACGTCGCCGTGTTTTTATGCACGTCATAACCGCAAAATATGCAATGTTTTTCTATGTCCAACCGTAACACGACCCTATTCTCATCCTTACTAGTACTAGGTTTAGGAAAAGAACGACTTTCTACTTGTTTAACCCGAAATGCTGTTGCCGATTCAGGATGTTTAAAAAGCGTCATTTCGGATAATTTCCGCCCGTGGATACTTGCTTGCTCAAGTTGTATTGCATAGGTTTCCACCTCGGACAACTTTGCTGCGTTTGTCGTGTATTTTAAGATTATTTCTTGCTGCCATGCAGGTTGGTTAATGCCGATTACAAGCTGGTCACGTAGGCGCTCGTTAAGGTTTTCTCCGAATTCGCAACTTCCCGCCAAACCTCGTAAAACTGACAAAAACTGTGTTACCGATTCGTTTTCTTGCCTGCAGCGCATAGAAAATGCTACCCGTTCCGAAAGAACATATGTTTGACGTTTGTAATGTTTGTCTAAAACCGCTTTTAACTCGTCATAAGATTTCGACACGACGCTGTTCGGTTTAAAATGATCCACTAAAATCTTAAATGAGATCGATCCTACCTTAGCCAGGAACTGGTTTCTTTTTTCTTCTGCTTTGCTGGCTGTGTTGAGCCCGTGTAATGTTAATTCTACCTCGAAACGCTGTATGTAATACGTCCATTCCTCCTTTTCCGGATCGAAACTCTCGAAACGTATGTGTGCCGCCGTTGCTGTAGCCATGTTTTTTCAACCCACTCGGTCGCCAATCTGTCGTATTGTTCAGTGAAAACAAAAGACGGGAACGAACATACTTTTATTTAGAAGACTCCAACTCTCATACTAAAAATAATACAATGCAAAAACTGGTGGCCGTGAACCGCGCGCGCTTCAACGTAGGTCATTCACTCTCTGCCAGCTGTGGCCGACTGCCGGTCGCTGCTCCCCGCCCGCCAAACGCGCCCCGTCGTACTTTTCCTAGCGCGCACTGAACTGACCCGGAAACGCCGAAACGAACACACCGATCCGATCACTTTACCACAGTGAACCTGGTTATTCGTTAGGTTTGGACCAGTGCCTTCGCTTGATTGCCCTCCTGTTTCACGGTTATATTGTTAGGGATTGGGCTGGCATATTTGCCTATTAACCCGTAGCGCAGTTAAGATTGTTAGGGGCAACACATTCACTCATTTATTGATATGTCACCTTACTAGTTATTCATATCATTGTATATCGAATGGAGTGGTGTGAAGTTTGTAAAACCATGTCTGATCTATTATTCATGTTGTGACGTAACAATAGGCGGTTATGACAATACACAGTGTGCTCGTGGGGCCCCCAATTATACTCAGTTTCCACATAATGACATTGGTATAAACCCCAGACTTCCGGAACTACTACCTGTGCTTCGTAACACTCCCCTGACATCGGCCACGTAGCGATACAAAACTGAAGATGGTTAAGAGATGGGTCGCCGCCCATGGGTAGGACGGCCTTGATTACAGCACTTCGTCCCTAAAGTTGGGGGTTCGAGGGTCCTCGGATCCTTTTATGCCTTAGCTCTAGAATACCTTTCTATTCTAGCGTCCGAGCTCCCTCTCACGGTAGAAAGATATGAGTTACATAAAAGGCACACGCATTCGCGAATGTTACGGAGTCACCCTAAACTAAATACACCTAGCATTGCATGCCCTACTTCACGGAAGTCGAGGTTCTACATAGGTACACCCCGTGCACCGTGTAAGTGAGTGGTCTAAACCTGAGATATCGTAGACTTCCACAAGCACATGGATATTAGTTAACACCTCGCATGTTGTAAATTACATATTAGCACAGTGGTAGATGGAAAATATCTGATATAACAAATGGCACAATTCATATAAGTACATAAGAGTAAACTACATAAAACTTTACCCAACACCATTGAATAAAAACACTATAAGAAGCTAACTTATGGAAGAAAGCGCGACAAATTACAATCCTTGCAATTGGTTGTGACCGCCGAACTTTGGGTAATAGGAGGAAGCAAATTCTCATTCTTCCAGTTCAAGAATGACTCTATTGACAGTGTTCCATTATATTCTCAGTTCAAACTCTGTCGCGCTTTATTTCCAGGGGTTAGGCTTACTTATAGTGTTTTTATTAATGCCCAACACCAAAGTTGTTGAATCCTACGCACAAACACCAAAAACAGAGCTAAACTCTATTAATACAACTTAAAATACAATAAGCCCACCACCAACAAGCTTTAACAAACAACAAGTGCTGAAGTGACGCCAAGCACTCAAATCCCCAAACATCCTCCGGAAACTACCAAAAAAATATCGACAGGTAGTGATGGCGGTGGCTCATGTCCACAGAATCCCCAACTACTTGACCGGTTGCATCCGACGTTGAAATATACAGGGTATTTAAATGGATATAGACATATATAGTATATACTGTGAATTTTGTTTATATTTTAAAAACGTAATTTAGTCCTGAACGGCGCCTCATAGTATTGTCCCACCAATATTAATTACAAAGTGCTGCCGCCAGATGTCCCACTGTTAATCTGAATAGCGAAAAACCTTATATTGGTTTACACTTTATTCACAGAAAATCAATGATTACGTTCCTTTAACGAGTCATTCCAAATACAAAATACTTGCCGATAAAAAATAAAGAAACAAAATTTGCCTCTTAGTGGCGCCCGCATGCCACGTTATTAAATCAGGCCAACAAAAAAACGATACGTCGTTTTTCGCCATTGTTTGTAGTAGTCACTTGTTCCCCAGTGTTGCCAACTGTAAAGTATAGGGTAAGTCAAAATTTTCGGTGTTGGTTGGGGTCGCCTAAGTTACAAATCGCCCAAACTCTGAAACCTTATTCAATATATTGCACTCCAGGTCATTGCTTTGTTTTTATCTACCACGAGAGGGCCCTGCTTTAGTCATTTCCTTCACGTGTCACTACCTGATTTTAAATTTAAGTGGGATCTGGTTACCGCTCAGAACTTTCTGTGCTAAAGTATTAGGTTCGCGGTAAACCTGGCGGTTAAGTACACTACAACCTTTGTTTTTGTCTAAAAGGACAAACAAAAGCTGTCGGTCGATAAAATGCCAGAAACGAACTTTCAAAAAACAAGCACGTGTCACTCAACGAATTATTGCCGTGTCTAACGTATGTGCTGTAATTGTTTAGTATGAAATTCCAAATCAGAAACATATTTATTTATACATTACAAACGAATATTTGATTTTCCTCGACATAATTGCACATTAAGGTATTAATTTCGTTGGCAAACTAAGCCACACAAATTTGCTGAAAGGGGGTAAACAGATACATAATCACGGGTATACTTCTTGCAGCTTGCAACGCTCTTTTCCTCTGAGTCGCGGACATATTCCAAATATTAAAATTGCTGACGGTAAATCCGAGTATCTTTTCAAGCTCGGCGATGAACTCACTGCTGTTGTTGTTTTGTTCATCACTGATTGGAGAATCGCAACTTATCCCTACAAATGGAATTTAAAAGAAAATTGAGTGTACAAGTTGCCTAACCCATATGTTATCCCTCTATACCTATGCCCTTTATTGCACTTACTTTCAGATATCACTTTCTGCGAACTAGTAGCCGATTGACAGGACAGTAAGTCTCCTTGCATGTTGTTTCGTCTTACAGCAATAGTGTGGAGTTGCAAGGGTAAGTTGCCCCAGAAAAGCCTCTCTTTGTGTTGAGGCGAAACGTAAATGGTATCCTGCATAAACGGCTCACATTGCAAATATCTGTTGATCAAATCCTTAGGACTGAGTCCCTCAGGTGTAACATTTTCGTATAACCAATAAAATCCATTTTCATTACATTTCGAAACTAAGCAGAGTATTCTATAAAATTCTAGAAAAGGATGAAACATGCCGTCGAAATCTAGAAGAAGAGGTGGTGATCTAGACCTTGACGCAAGTACCTAATTGAAATTACCAACGCTCTCCTTGGCCTTGCGATTGTCCAAATCCGCCTCAATGCATGGAGGTCCTCCGATTACCAAGTGTATGGGTGACATTCTCTTCACATCCTCTTCTGTAATAGATGTTATATCGCCAACATTGATTACCTTCCCTGAAGAGCTGTGTGCGCTCACATTTATACACCCTTTGTCGGTTTCAGACGCGTAGTACGCGTCCATTTCGATACCTAACTTGCTCAACGCAAAAAAACCTGAAACCCAAATCCAAGTTTGATATACAGGGTGTTTCGAAATTCGCGCCTACGGACTGTGGGACGGTGCTATATACAACGAAAACTCGATAAAAAGTTCCTCTACCAGTTTTTGATCAGACCGGCACTTATTTTTGTTTTTAAAAATGTGTTATTATTACGTTTAACCAGTGGCAGTGGTAGGGGGGGGGGGCGGAGATTTTTAAAACCGCGGTAGCTCGAAAAATAGCAGTCTGATGGAAAACTGGTAGAGGAAATTTTTGTTCAGTTTTTGTCGTATAACACCATCCCATAGTCCGTGTGCGCGAATTTCGAAACACATTGTACGAGAACGTCAGTAGTCACCTGTCGAAATGCCATCGAACAATGAGAGCACTCGAATTTTACTTCCACTTATCGAAGGAGCATTTACAAGAGGAATTTGGTTACCCTCATCGAACATTTTATCAATGCGAAGGATATGGTCCGGTCTTATTGAAAGCACGCCCACTTGCTCTTGCCGAGTGCACAGAAAGCAAATCCACTTTTCCTCCCCTGTAAACGATTCCCAAGTGCCAGCTTTGAAGAAGTCATCCACGCAATGGACACAGTAGGCTCTGAAAATAGATCAAGTTACGGTACCCGCCAATCGACCGCGCCCGAAACAGTACTTGCCACAATAGCCACTCTCGCACATGATTGTGTGCTCTCCGTTTCCGCAAATGACGCAAAAGTGCTACGGCAAGTACATAATTAGTATTTACAGTGCGTTACTTAGTCGGCACTTACGTGAAAGCCATCCTCGCCGATTTTTTGGAGTGTGTGCTTCAATCTAATCTGTAAATTACAACAAACTTTTCAAGCTTTCAGTTTTAAAAATTATTTTTTCAACGGTGAGAAATTTACACATGTACCGCTTCACAGTACACATGAACGAAAGTATGTCTGGAGATAAAAGCGATAAACAGTACGCGTTGGGAATAAAACGCAGGCTGTGTCAAGTAGGTAAGCGCGAGCTCAACCGTGTTGCCAGTTGTAATAACCGCTGCAACGGGCAGGTAGAAAAACAAGAGAACTCGACGACTTCACGACTGTGCCGTTCAACCGGCAGAATACAAATAGCCAACGAAACAAAGAAGCCGGTATTGGCAGTTTGACTTAGAATGTGAAGGTTTCGCAGCTCAATTTCGAACGTAGGAAGGTAAAATTTGATGCATTTTATAGAATTTCGACCGCGTAGCCGAGAAAGCATTTTTAGTTTAATCATAATTGCGATAAAGTGCGAGTTATTGGAGACTATATTTTTTTAATAATATTCCTAAAGGAACCGACCTGTGAAAATCAATTGCATGAATCAGATTTATACCGTATTTATTGATAATAATTGAACCCGGACAAAGGAGTTTGGTTATTTTCTTTCATTAGTTGGGAATTCGCATTTCATTTCAGTGATACTATTCCCTTGGTTGGATTCAAGGTAAAGGATGTTTCAAAGCCAGCCCGTTTAAGTGAAATTTTTGTCAATTTTATTTAAAAAGCCTTTACAATTGCAATTACTGTATCTCAGCAATACTAGAAGGGGGTCCTCTAATAACTTTGTTCTTCTGATGTTTAGTATGTGAATCTTTATGATAATGCAATGTAACTTGCATTCTCACCTGCACTTTTTTGTGTTCAATTATTGGTGGCGGATGCTGGTGTAGAAGAATGCCATTTTGAAGTTTTTTTTTAAATGTACATTGAGGTAGGAAAAAACGAGACGAAAACGCAGACGCAGACGAAAAACCAGATTGGTGTCTGAATAAGTTGAGATGTTTCACCCTGTATATACAACCTACGATGATGCACACATTTTTTTTACCTTTTAGTCTCGAGAGCACGAACGCTTCTAACGTGACAGCCATCTTGGTTTGAGCCGTCGTCGAGAAAGCATCGTGTAGTGAAGTTTATTGTTTTTTTTCGCGTTATTTAATGCAGGTAATTTTTGCATTTCTTTCGAATTTACTTATATTTTGTATACATTTTATGTTTTTTCAATCTTAGTTTTTGAAATTGACACGATTTAACCAGAATTCGGAAACATATGATTGAAATTGTTTTCATTTATGGCGCAAATTTTTGCTTAATATATGGTTATGAGTGGGTACATGGTCTTGGCCCCAAATTGAATTTATATATTTGGTCATGCATTTCAATATGTGGAAATTGTCAAATTGTTTGATGTGTGTACTAACAATTTCGTCGTCACGGGGGTAACCGCGCGTTAGTCACGACACCTAATACCGGGACTAACCTCGATTCTCAACTGTAGGCTTGAATTTTCTGAACAAAGGGCAAGTTACCTATATCGGGGGCGAGATCCTGCTAAATGAAATGAAAATATAGCATACTTACAAAGCATTTTTTACAGAGATCGCCAACAAATAGAGGATGCTCATGGCACAGTTCGTCATCCGCGTAACATCCAAGACACAAACGGACATCTACCAGGGTTTCACCTTTTGACAAGAGTTTTCGAATAAGACCTAAGATTATAGATGAAGCTTAAAATGCCTGGCTTTAAAAATCAAGGTTACCTACCTTTATAATTCTTTGGACACGTCTTTTTGTGGGCCTTAAAATTATTATGCTTCTTCTCCAGAGCGTTTTGAACAGAGGTAGGTATATCTGTAGATATAAAAGATTAAGTTAAATCAGCAGCACGCTTATGATTGATATTGATATTGTGTTAAGTTTTTCCTTCAAGTCGTTTCGGTTTTGTTGATTACAGAAAAGGAACCAACGCAAACTTCGCGATCACCGTCACTTTTTAACCAATCGCAAACCCGCATTCTTATCTATTTCTCGTCGGTCTATGCAAAAGAGGAACGGGAAATTGAACGGTTCAATGTTATCTCCACTCAAACCCAAGCTTTTCTTTAAAATGCGCCTTGGTTGGAAACTAATTTGTGATTTTAGTTTTGAAAAATCAAGGGTGCCTTTGAAATGTTCAACTGGCCAACTAAGAATGCGAGGTACTGTATCTGAGAATCTATCTATCGTAGAGGCTTGCGGTAAAAAAAATTATTACTAAAACGGCCACGAGCAAAACCTGGAACATATTTTTAAGTTTCTGAAATGACCCCTAGGGGGCGTAACTGCAATCTGGAATCTAAAGTCACTAAATATAGAAAGTACCGCAATCCATTGGGCTCGTGTGTTAGGAGAGAGAACGCATGATTTTTGCCCAAAAATGGCGGAAGTTACCAGATTCTAGTAACTTTAATGTTAGAGATTGTTCCACCTGTTTGGAGATATCTGTATATATTTTATAAAACATGACAGTACTATGAAGTTAGGTTATAAAAAAATGACAGCTAGTCAGATTTTATTTGTCAATTTGGCAAGTTGGCAGCAAATTTGCCCAAAAATGGCGGATGATTGCGGTACTTTATATATATCTAGTGACTTTACTGGAATCTAAAAAAGTGATGTTTCTGTGAATTCCGCTATATTAACCTAACAAAAAAATGTCCGGTCTTTGAAGTCGACGATAATCTGAACAATTTTTGTTTGACAATTTTTCCTGTATCTCTAAAAATGAAGTGGTGGGGGGTATTCAAAGGTTTCCGTAAAGAACACCCTGTATCTTCGAAACGGCTGAGCCGATTTAAACAAACTCGGGTTAGTTCAAAAGAGCTATTCTTCAGCTACAAATATTACACTATTTGAAGTTTTGTTAGTTTCACATATCGCCGCTTGAGGGCTTTTTTCGACATTCCGACAGAAATGGTTAATTTTCTCAAAAAAATTAAATGCATTGGTTCGATGCATTGGTTCGATTTTTTTTCATGAAAAAGTAGCTAAATGATGCCTAAACAAGTTCGCGAAAACAGCATCTCGATATCAATCACTTTTTTTAGATTCCAGATTGCAGTTATCGCCCCCTAGCGATCATTTGCAGAAACTTTAAAAATAATTTTCGAGGTTTTTCTCGTGGCCGTTTTAGTAATAATTTTTTTTTACCGCAAGCCCTCTTAACGATGTACAGGTTCCCAAGATACAGTACCTCGGCTTCTTATTTGGCTACCCTGTACTTTTTTATTTTGGAGATTCGTGAAATTTCGGACATAAATTCGAAGACAATGGATGCGGTTTAGGTACACACAAATTAATATAGACATTGCGCGGAATTAAACACATAACGTAAACATTGTCAGTTAAAAATTCGACACGCATATTCATTTATATTCATGAACTTTGATTGACGAATCGCAAAGTGCGAACTTATCTGTTCATATCTTTGATTGGTAGAAGGCCCCGAGACTGCTGAACCGTGTAAATTAGGAATGTACTTACGAACCAGTATGTCAACTTGTTCAAAAACTTCCTGTAGATTAAAGAATCGTCATACACCAACAAATACGAAACCTGGACGCTAGGGTGATTTTCAACAAACTCTATGGAAGATCGACGCCACGTCAATAATAAATCTGTAACGTTATTTATATAAATTCGGGTTCGATTTATATCAATATTTATTAATCAAAACTACAACACTATAAAAACCGTACAATTTATATCGATTATTATATCACACACACTTCGCAATTTATATTTCCGTGCTCGATGTTTCGTCCGTACTCGTTCGATAGTAGACTAACTCGATGTTCGGTCCGCAACCATTTATACACGCAAGCAATGTAAGTCCAGTACATTCTCGAATGTTCCTACAACTTCCACTATCGCGCGCGTAGAAAATTCCAGAGAATTCTGGAGCATTTCCGTTACACTGCCCCCTTCTTAATTCTGGACGTCTCGTTCAGAAACTGCGTTAGTATTACTTTTTAATGCCTCGTGTCGGAATCTGCAGTCAGAGCCTGCCCGACAAACACCTTTCTTGAAAAAGTAACAGTCCACAGTTTTGCGGAGGGTCGTCCCCTGTGGGTTGAAGCAGCATACTGTAATTCGAACGCTAGTGTTTCTAAAAATCACTTCGATCATGGTTCGCACTATTTTCCAATCCAACCCATCTAAACCACATCCAATCTTCGGGATCGCCAAGCTATTTATGTCATAGTATGCCATGAGTTTCCTTAAGCTTTTTAAAGCAGACCAGAGGTTTTCATAGGTGGGTTTGCCTTCTGACGTTTTCTTTGAAACCAAGTAGAACAAAGAGCGTTGACTATTTTCCAAGCGCAGTACTTTACCCACTCGTGGTCTTTGCTTTAACAACTCGTCGATTCTTCCAAATCTTTTCCGGAATACGGAAGCTATACCTCTACTCATGCGAAGGTCTTCGGCGACACAATGGGCGATGGAAACGTTAATCGGAAGCTCAAAAATATTTTGA